CCCGCCTCACACTCCACCCTCCTTACCTGCCCTGCCCCACCCCTTTCAGCTGCACTCAGAACTGCCCTTGCCCCCCTCTTTCTGAGCTCAGAAGGTAAAGGCTACCTCCCACTCACTACCCCGCCCCCCAACACACACTCAGCCACAAGGGTTTGGAGATCCCATACTGGGGACTTCCATTCTGGTCTGCTCCAGAGACCCCCCTCCCCAAACACAGAGACCCCCTCCTCTCACAGTGACCTGTGAGAGATCACAAACTGCATGAAGAATCTGGTAAAAGCTACAGGCTCTCACCCTGGGGAAATGTGCAAATGAATTTTGGTGGGGCATTCCAACATAAAATTTTGCCTCCACAATTGGGGGGATCCACAGACACCTTTACTTGCCTAAACTGCTACAAATCCACTTACAGGTGTGAATTCTCTTTTCAGACCTCAATTTCACTAAGCTCTGGTGACTGTTACCCTGCACCCCCATCTGCAAGCCAGGCAGGGTAGTCCAGCAGGCGCGATCGGTCCCTGAGCGTTATGTTCCTGGCTGTTCCTCTAGGATTTGAGCACTTGGACCCGCACAGGATTTAGAATTCTTCCTACTGCCCTCCCCCAGCACAAGGGAAAAGGATGAAGGTAAACCCTGAAAGTCCTGCTGATGTCGACTTTAATATCTTGGGGGAATGAACAGGAAGTACGTGAAGAAGAAAGATTCTGCTCTTTATAGAAAATGACTGGTTGGATTCTAAATCGTTTTCTCCTATTCTCTTGGGGGGATTCGATGCTTGTGTACACAGAAAGTTAATTCTTCAGAATTTTGAAGATCTGCTGTTTTCGATTCTTCTCCTGCCACTTACTGAACAGTCCCTGAACAGAGCGACAAAATGAGCAACCAACACATGCAAGACCTTTTCAAAACACGGGAACTGAGGCACACAGGTGCCGTGGCTTTGCCAAAGCCAAAGAGGAGAGCTGGTGGTAGATGGTGGGGGTGCCAGTCTCTGCCTCAGAGGGCCCCCATTAAATACAAAAACAAAGTGAAGTGGAAACAACCCCCAAACTCTTCTTTATTCCTTTTGCACAGCAACGCACCAGGTGATGCTGAAGCCAAAAGGGCCAGGGAGGCTATGGCCCAGGGTGCCCCAGACATGCCCTGCTCCTGGCTTTATGCGGAACCAATACCTTTGAGCTCCTGTGGTGTCTAGAGGGCAGAGACGCTGAGTGTTTCCAGTAGCGAGAAGAGCAGAGGGTGAGTGAGAGACTCCCACGCTTCCACTCCATCCCCACTCTGACCCCTGCAAAGCCCAGCATGATGCTGGGAGAGGTTGAGAAGCCCACCTCCCATCACCAGATTCAAAGGTTTTACCTGGAATCCCTAAATGAGAACAGCTCAGGAAAGCACTTTTTTTTTCTAATTAAAAACTGCAATCAGTGGCGATTCTCCTCTTTCCAATAATTTCAATCTTTTTCCTCTATGCATCAGAAATAGTCAGAAACTGAGAGCAGGTGGGGGTGGTGTGCTGTCTCTCCCTGTACCTTCCCAGGGTTTCCCTCATGGAGTGGGTGGGGGAAACTGCAGGCATGAACTTGGTGCTATGCACCAGCCAGCAAAGAATGTCCTGAGACGGAAATACTTTTCTGCACCGGAGTTTGGCGGATGCTTTCCTCAGGGTTCACTAGGCTCTGAAGCCCTCATCCCCACCCCCCCATCCAGGCATCAACATAGAAGCAGGTCAGCGGGACTCCCACGCGCTTCCCTCCAGATAGGGTTCCCTGAATGGCTCCAGGAAACTGTCAAGATTACCTAACCTGGACCAGCATGAAATCGGGGTATAATTTACTGAATATTTGTTGAATGAAAGAATGTAAAAAAAAAAAAAA